GGCCTCACTGCTAAGAGGCACCAGTGCAGCGGCCCGGGGAGATGAGGGAATACTGTGCAGGTTAGCTGGTAGGGAATGCGGTCCAGGCTCAGCGTGCCTGGCTGCACAGGCTTGGAGAAGGCAAGTCTGGAGACAGAGGTCACAGGACTGACTGGCTTCCCTACCCAAGATCCGAGATTCCCTCCACTCTCCCAGAGCTGCCACCCTGGTTGGCTCTGTGACCTCGACCCATCCTGCCCACTTGTGGAATGACTCAGATTTCAGGAACAAAATCTATGGTTTCAATACTTCTAAAGTTTGGGCTATAATTGAGAAAACAACTCTGCTCGCACTCTAAAAGAGAGGAGGCATCGCCCTGCAGTGAGATAAAATGGTCAGTGGCAAGCCCACTAACATCTGCACGCAAAAGCAAAACCCAATTATACAAAAATTGCCTTATTCGGTTTTCACGTCAAGAAAAAGCTTGTGAATAAAACAGATAAAAATCCTTCCTGGTAAGAGTTTATACTGTAGCAAGAGAGACCAACTAAGCAAGTAAAACACGACTACCATTTCCAGTCTGCCAACTGGGAGAATTAGCAAGGGAGATACGCATGGATGGCGCGCTCAGAGCCACCTCCATGGTCACTGCAGAGATGACCCTGCGATCCACGTCCGGACCCACCAGACTCAGCCCTCCTGCTTCCTGCTGCCCTTCCCTCAAACAAGCTATCTTTCTTCTATGCTCCCTCACCAAAAACTCAGACTTTATGAGGAAGATTCCGGACTATCATCTTCCCTCAGTGAGACAAAACCAAGATTCTTTTGCTCAGAAACCTTTTACCCTTTTCTTATCCTCTGATAATTACCTGCAAATGATCCCCATGGATAAAAGAATGAAGCTTTTAGAACACACTTAGTTTGCAAGTGCCTCACATTTTTTTTGTTTTGTTTTAAAATTTAAGTCAGTTTGGTCCTAAGTAAAAACACGGTAGGAAGGCATGTCATCAAATTTCTGGAATGGTGATGACCTACTCTGATTTCAGATTTCAAAGCAAAATTACAAAATTTAATAAAATCTCTACAGCACTCAGATGTACTCTTGGAAAAAAGAGGGAGGGAAAGAACTTTTTTAAATCAACAAACCTGTCCTGATGAGTATTTTACTTCAGATTTTTGTTAAATCACAGACTTCTATTAATTCCTATATAAAATTTAGCAACTAAAACTTCTGTTAAAAAAAGTTAAATAAAAATAACAACAATGATGTCATATTAACATAAGAAGACCTATTCATGATTAATTACAGAATTTCATTTTCTTCTAAAGCAGTGGCTATCAGGGTTATGATCTAAGGGCTACTGCCAACCCACACATTCAATTTGGCAATCTATTAATTGCTTTTGGCCTGAATTGGTAATTTACCTCAATGACATACCTCACTGCATCTTCCTAGACTCAAAATATTCTCTCCACAAATGGGGTTTTGCCAACAGCTGTACCAGCAAAAACAAACACCTTCACACTCCAGCCAAAATGAACTATCATCTCCTAGCCTTTGTGCACACTATTCTCCCTGCCTAAAATGCCTTTCTCAGCTTCCTCCTATATCTGGTTAATTCTTAACTGTGTTTAAGCACTCAATGTCACCTTTGCCAGGAAGCCTTCCCAAGGCTTGGATAGACACCCCCTCCCATGTAAGCCCACGACACTCTGTGCTACATCCCACCTGTCCTCCATCATAACACACTGAACACTCTACAGCACAGCTGACTGCTTTCTTGTCCATCCTCCCCTCCAGACTGTATTCTATTTGAGAACAGATTTATTGTTGCCTTCTCCCAGGGTTCAGTAAATACTAGGGTATGAAGGAAACGGGGAGGGGTTAATTAACAAATTGATGGGTTTAAACAGAGAGAAAAGTGACAAAGAAGTAAGGGGAGGAGAGGAAACAGGAAAGTGGGGAGGGGGAGGGAAAGACGGCGAGAGATGGGGCTTTCTGTAACACTGTCTACCCCTGCCCCTTCAAGGGAAGGCACAGACCCAATTAAGGATTCCTGCCAGAGTAAGTCACCGTCATCAATATAAGGGAAAAGAACATGGAGAACCACTCTTGTGAAAACAATAAAATACCAAAGGATCTGAAGATTATGAAATTCAACCCAGTCTGTTAATTTTGTAAATCTGTCACATTACCACGAAAAAATAAAATTTTCATTTAAGTTGATTTTAAAGATTTACTTCATTCTTAAATACTCATCTTTTACCTGTCTGAAATATAACATCTCTCCAAAACAATTTAAAATACGATTAAATACAGAAATTTAACTTTAATATATACATTTTTATTTAACAACTAATGTTTCATCTATGTATTAGGAGCCTAAATAAAAGATACTTTTAAACTCAAAGAAGATACTTTCAAGAGCATTTTACTTAGCTGAAAGTTTTGTAAAGTTTATTAATATAAAAGGACTGAAATTCACTGCTATTCCTTAATGCTTGAGAAAAAAGTTCACCATCATTATTCTTTATATGCAGCACAAAAATATAAATTATTTGCTCACATAAGAGTTCTATAACATCCATATTCAACTGGGAGATACTGTTAGATGTTTTAATCCTTTTAATATTTTTTGCTTTTAATTTAACCTCTTACCCTAAATGCAGGATTGGCTCCATGCTCCAATAAGCATTTCACAGTACTTGCACACAAGTTATATGCGGCAATATGCAGAGCTGTTCCAAAATTAAAGTCACTGCAGGTGGCATCCACATCTGCAATTAAAGATCACAGGTGTACTAACTAAAATTTTAAATTAAGCTATTATAACATAAAAGGAGACGGGCTACGTTTATTGGGGGGGTAGTGGTATTTATTGGCCATTTAAACCAACCCACTAGGAGGACTATACTCACTATTTTCTTAGTACAATAAAATTTCATCATCAAATGGACTGATATTATTGTGGATTTTCCAACCATCACAAACTAAACTATATTTAAAAGCAATTAATGGCAATAATTCATATTTATAAAAGGAAATATCTTAACACACTTCCATTAAACCTCTTGCATATGTGCTGTGACAACTATAATGACATAGTAGGGAGGTCAGGGACTAGCAAACCATGGCCTATTGGCCAACTCCAACTCACCATCTGTTTCTGTAAATAAACTTTTATTGGAACACAGCCATACATGTGGCATGTAGCCACAGAGAATATGCATATGCCACAACTTTAGAATCAAGTAGCTGCAACACAGACCATGTGGTCCACAAAGCCCAAAATATTTACTATCTGCCTCTTTGCAGAAAAATTCGTAGGTAAAACAAATATGCAGAATTCTCAACCAGGAATAAGTTAAAGAGTAATTAAACATATGCTCCATGCTTACATATTGTATTCATTCACAACACTTTATGTTACAAATGAATCTGCACTTGACAATAAGAATGGGAATTCTGCAATTTTAGGAACACTTTTAATAACTTTCAACAAATCATCACGATGTTATACATAGACACGGGAAATCTTACAGATTTGGAAGTCTCATTTTGAATGTTTCCTAACAAGGGTTTAATATGCCTCTGGGTTCTGCTGATCCTACCTTAATCTAAACCACACCAGTCCACATGCCCTTCCTACAACTCCAAACAACCAAGACATGCTCTGGACAATCCCCCCCTGAATTATTAAAGACACTGTACTATCAAGAGAGACCTTCTGACTAACATTATTCAAAAAGTGAAAAAGTAAAAAGGTGAAGAGGAAATGGACAATTACACAAAGCAGAGGTTAGAAACAAACATTCTGGGAAACTTATCTACTAAATCTCCAAAACAAGTCTTCTACAAATGGAGAAACACTGCATACAGCCTTTAACTTAAAGCAATGCTACTGCACTAGCCCTTGTTTCTTTCTCAAAAGAAAACTGCCCCCCTGAGATGACCCAGAGAGAACATCAAAATACCAGGGCTGTGATTTAGACATTACAATGTTCAATTTTAGGATAACATCAAGACAGGAGGGAAAAGAAATTTAAAAATAATCATCCTTTAATGGAATCACTGAATTTCAGAACTGAATGCCACCTAAAAT